AAAATTTATAAAGAGGCCTTAATTCCAGAGGTATTTGATCAAACCAGAAATCCTTGACGTACTTTTAGTCACCTTTCAAATCTTGTCAGTCACTAAGGCTTGCCAATTGTATTTTGCAACTATTCTCTTGATTCTGCGCATTTCTCTCCATCCTGACTGACTCAACCATCCTCCAAGGAAGATTTCTTGGATTTTTGGCCTTTCCAAGTTCATTCTTGCTGCCCATTCTCTAAACTAAAGCTGGATTGATATTTTTATAAACAAACCCCCAAAATGATTGCTCTCCTATTTAAGGCCTTTCAAAGATTTCCCATTGCTCAGAGTCCAAGAGTCCAAAGTGTGGACTCAAGGCCCTAAACTGTCTGGATTCTGTCTTTCTCCTCAGCCTCTGGTCTTCACTACTATCTCTTTTGATTCTCAACCGTATATGTCCTTTCCTGCTTTAGGGCCTTTGCTCATGCTCTTTGCTCTGCACTGACACCTCTTCCTGTCCCTCTTCACCTGCTCATTCATGAGGTCTCTGCTTAAACCTCATCACCCTCATCACCCACATTACCACCCCCCCTGCCCCCACCAGTAGCGCTCTGCACCCCTTTGTGTCGCTCACCTCACTTGCAGTTTGTTTGTTAACATCTCTCTTCTCCCTTAGACTGTGAACTCAGTGAGGGAGGGACCTGTCTTTTTCCTAATACCCTTTACAGCCCTTGTAGGCATTTGCTAATGTTTGTTGAATGGAGTAAAAAATACCAGTATTGAAGAATATTTCCAAGCTTTGTCACTCAGAAGAATTTACTCTGGTAAATTTCCTCTAAATAGTATGAGAAAACAAATGGAAAAAGTCCACGACATCAGCAAGGCCCTCATACTTGTCAGTTTAGAAAATTGATTCTTCTCTTGGAGTAAATAGATTTATTACTTAGTGCTGGTTATGGTTTGGTTATGATCATGAAGTCCTACATTAATGAAACCTTTACCGTTGTGGTATAATTTGGTTACTGTTAATGGAACCATAAAGTAGTTCCAAGGCTCATTTCAGGAAGTGAGGAGTTTCATGGGCTTTTGCCTTTCGATAGTTTGACCCAGCAGCTGACCTATATTCCTTAATGTTAATCATTTGGAAGATGAGCTCACATTGCTAGTTTGTGGTTATCTGGTGCTTATCACTTGATCTGAGAGATAGTCCTGATTAGTTTCACCCACCTTGGAGGACCCTGACTTCATTGATCTTGGTAGATTATGGGTTAAGAACAGTAGATTTTTAGATTGGATTTACTCTGCAGAAGCAGTATATTTTATAGTCGTGGAAAGTTTTTCTGCAGTTAATACTAAATTCTGAATGCCGACAACTCATTAATAGTAAGAGCATATTGTAATTGCTAAGGATAGACTGAGATGTGTCCCAGAAAACTGATAACAGAAACAGAGACCTTTAAATCCCCATCGCCTCTTGCTTCTTGGCCTAGATGATTTCTACCTCTTAGTCCCTCCTTCCCATGAGTGATTGTAAGAGTGCAGTTGGGGGATGTTCTATATTATTTAGCTCCTGTTGTGCCTCCTAAGATCCATTTATTTGTTGAATACAAACTCATCGATCACCCACTATGTCCCAGAAACTGTTCTAAGCACTTGGGATGTAAACAGAGGAAAAATAAAAAATAAAAAAAGAACCTGGCCTTAATGTAGCTTGCATTCTAGAAGGAGAAGACAAACAGAAAACTCCATAAAAAAAAAAAAATGTATAATATATTAGAAGATGACAAGTGCTATGAAAAAAGGAAAAGAGGAACAGGGTAAGGAGCTGAGTACTGGTGATTAGGATGGGTTGTGATTTTTTTTTTTAATAAGTTTGTTTATTTATTTATTTATTTATTTTTGGCTGTGTTGGGTCTTTGTTGCTGCATGCGGGCTTTCTCTAGGGCTTTCTCTAGTTGTGGCGAGTGGGGGCTACTCTTCGTTGTGGTGCATGGGCTTCTCATTGCGGTGGCTTCTCTTGTTGCAGAGCACGGGCTCTAGGTGCGCAAGCTTCAGTAGTTGTGGCTCGTGGGCTCTAGAGCGCAGGCTCAGTAGTTGTGGTGCACGGGCTTAGTTGCTCTGCAGCACGTGGGATCTTCCTGGGCCAGGGCTTGAACCCATGTCCCCTGCATTGGCAGGTGGGTTCTTAACCACTGTGCCACCAGGAAGTCCGGGTTGTGATTTTTATATAGGCAGTCAAGGTAGTCCTTACTGAAAGTGAAATTTAAGTAAAGACATGAAAGAGATGAGGGAGTTAGCCATTTGGATCTTGGGAACACCTGGGGCAAATGCCTTAAGGCAGTAGCAGTGTCGTTAGGGTGGAGTGCGTGAGGGGAGAGTGTTTGGGAGAGTATTTGAAGTCAGGAAGGTGACACAGGGCCAGGTCTTGTAGGGCCTTGTAGGCCATTGTAAGGATTCGTACTTTGAGAAATATGGAATCACCTCAGGGTTTCAAGCCGAGGAGTGATATGATCTAAGTTATTTTAAAGGGTCACTGTGCTTGCTTTGTTGAGAACAGACTGTAAGGGAGCAAGAGTCCGAGCAGAGAGACCTTCTAAGAGATTTTTGCTGTGATCCAGGCAGGAGGGGATGGTGGCCTGAACCAGAGTTGTAAAGCAGAGGTGGTGAAGATCTAGCCAAGACCATTTGTTGGTGGTTTGGTTGGGATATGAGAAAACAGTCAGGGGTGACTCTGAGAGGGAGGAGGCAGTGAGTAGGACAGCTTTTGGGGGCAGATCAGGAGTTCAGTTTAGGACATGCTAATTTTGAAATAAATGTCTGTCAGACATCCAAATGGATTGGATATGTGGATCTAGAGTTTGGGAGAGATAAAAGATTTGGGGTCATCAGCATATAGGTAGTTATTTAAAACCAGAGACCGAACTAGGTTACCTTAGGAGTGAGTGTAGTATAAACAGGTGACAAGAATAGGACCCAAGGGCACTCCAGTTTTGCGGGGAGAGGCGCAGGAATCAACAAAGGAGCGTGAGGAGTGACCAGTGAGGTAGGATATGTTTGGGGTCCTAGAAGCTGAGAGAAAAAAGCGTATGAAAGGAAGAGGAAGAGATGAAGCATGGAAAGTGCTGCTGATACGTGAAGCAAGATTGTTAAGAGCAACACAAAAGAAGTGGCAGCCAGGAGGAGATGTTGTATATTCTCAGCAAAATGTATAATCCCCATCCTTCTCCCTTTTACTTGTGAAGCATTCTTGTACATCCCAAGGAGGGTGGGTCAGATTGCCCTGAGAGCTCTTGAGCTGATAGTTGGACTCATGTGTCCAAGCCCTTTTTATCTGTTCCGTGCCAGGCATTGTGCTAAGTGCCGTGGATACAGACATTCATGATAAACAGACCCTGCATTTAAAGTAAGCCCATGGCCAAGGAGCTTTGCCTGTTTGGTTCACTTCATGTACCCCATGTACTAGAACTATGCCTAACATACAGTAGTAGTTACCTAATAAATACTTTCAGAATAATGAAAAAAAATAAAGTAATCCCACAAAAGTATTCTATGTAGTGTGTAAAATTGAACCTTTGTCATTTATGAAGAAGTAGCTCATTAATATTTTTAAGGATGGAAAGGAGTTGTAATATTTTTACTTAGTACAGTTTAAAGAGGAAGAACTGCAAGTGATGAATGGAAAGTGACCACTTATTTTCCGAACTTAAAAAGAAAACAAAACTTTTTTTCTGATTACAGAAGTGCTTATTGCCTAAAAAAGTGTGTATGTATGAGTATATACACAGAGAGAGAGAAGTATACAACACAGGAATGAAATGCCCTGAATTCCATCTCTTGGAGATTAACTGTTGGTAGCAGTTTGTTATGTGCTCTTTAGGTTTTTTCCCCACACATAGGGCATATTTACTGTAATGTATGGTTAAGTAAGTCTTTCTGTGTTTATTAACAGCTCTTCTGTTTCTGTATAACTTCCTGATTATTTTTTCTCCTGTGGAATTATTTTAAAATTGGTTCTCTACCTGTATGTAACTTATGTAGAGATCAAAAATAAAGAAATGTTAATCTCTAGGCCATTCTCAGTTGTAAGAAACATGTCTTTTGGTTAAAATAAAATTATGTAAGCACTAATTTTTGCACACACAGCTTGATACACGTGGAGTTCTGTTTGAATTTTATTTTGTGATCTGTAATGATTGTTATATATACAGTAGGTTCTAATCTTTATCTTTGGTTAACTCAAGTAGGCAATGTAATTGGAAGTTGGCTTTCTTTTTTGTTTTTAAATGAAATTTTGTATCTTAAGTGTAAAATTTGATTCAGATTTTGGCATAAAAGTTCAGTTTCCTCTGAATTCATTGGATAGTCCCTTTGCTTTCTGCGAGGCATATAAAAATAAATTTCTGAATGTGCCAGAGCACATTTGTTGGATAATTCAATAATTTCTTCATTTTAGGATGCAAGTACCTAGGAGCTCAGCATACAGTTGGTACTCAGTAAATTCTTGTGAACTATAAGTCATCATTATTGTTTCAAGAAATGTTTATTGAACAAAGTGTTGAAAATCAGAGGCAGATCAGATCCAAAAAGGCATAAGATATATTTTCTGGTCTCAAGATATTTGTGGTCATTTGGGGGACACAACTTATTTAAAGATAAATAACCATATGTGGTAGCATATGACCAGGGCCAGATGGCAAGTACACACCGCAGAGTTCAGAGTAAAGCATGTGCTGTGGAAGGGTTGATGTGGTCATTGAAGATTTTGTCTTGGGACAGAATCATAACTGAGTCATCAAAGGCACTGAGTGCCGAAGTTAAGAGTCAGACTTTCATTTAGTGGAGAGCTGTGATTGTTTTTGTGGTGTTCAGGGTAGTGTTTTAGGGAGACCAGTCTTATAGTGGTGTTTGGGATGAATTGGTGGTAGGGCAGAGGCTGGAGGCTAGGAGACCTTTCAGGACCTGCTCCCCTATTCTGTGCTTTGGAGAAGTGAATTGAGCCACAGGGAGCTCACCACTGCTTAGAGGCCATGGCGTTGGTGATGAACACAGTGAACCCCTTCTCCCTACGCATATGCACCCCAGACATCTTGTCCTATCCAGGGATCTGTGAGGGGCAGGGGCAGGCCTTTGCTGCCCTCTCAAACAGTGTGTGTCTCGCAGTTGTTCATCCTTTCCTTCTGCCTTCCTTCTCTGATCTGGCCAGTCCATTCTTTGAATCAGATTACCAGCTTTCCTCTCCTTTCCCCCACCGCTTTTCCGGGGGCAACCCCAGGTTAATTCCTCTTTGGACCTAACTTCTGTAACAACATAGGTGGAGAATTAAACAGAGAAGCACTGAGTTCCACCCCCAAGGGAAATAAAACCCAAAGTCTTAATGTGTTTAAAAAATTCTTTAATTGATTATCTAACCACATTATCTGTTGCTATTATGGTTGTGATTATTCCCAGGAAGGTAGATCTGCTGGATGTGGGCCTGCAAGTTTGATAGTAGCAGCTGGAGACTTCATTTTGTTTACTTGAGGGGAAGAATTTGAAATTGCAAGGGCAGTCATGGAGTAGGGAAAGAAGAAGTGGTTTGGTGGGGTCAGAGTTGGGCAACAACTTCCCTTGGCAAAGGGAAGTTAAAAACTACCTGAGGGACAGGCTGGAGAGGAGGCCTGAGGTGGCCTGTGGGTTGTAGGAGGTGTGTTTATTTACTGTGCCCTTGATCTTGTGGCCCATCTTGGCCTACTTCCAGCTCCCTATCTTCTCTTCCAGTTAACATTTAACACCCCCAGAGGTCTCTTACAGTTTAAGAAAAGACAACTAAAATTTTCTCCCTCTATTTCACATTCCCATCTCTGCTTCCTTACTTTTCATTTATTTCTCAACTCTCTGAGTTTTTAAAATCTTCCATCTTTTCATCTAACAGCTTTATTGAGCTATAATTCACACACTATACTTATTTAAAATGTGTAATACAGTGGGTTTTGGTATGACCCAAGATTGTGTCACCATCACCACGGTTCGGAATGCCAAACTCTTTTGCATAGAGAAGCATCATGTTAGCTTCCCACCAGCAGTGTTTGAGGATACTAATTTTTCTACATCCTTGTCAACACTTATTATTATTGGACTTTAGTAATTTTAGCAGGTCTGATATGTTACCTCATTGTGATTTTGATTTGCATTTCTGTGATGGCTAATAATGTTAAGCATCTTTTTATGTGCCATTTGTATTATCTTTGGAGAAATGTCTGTTCAGATCCTTTGCCCATTTTTAAATTGGATTGTTCATCTTTTTATTCGTGAGTTACAAGAGTTCTTTTTTTTTATTCTTTGTATAAGCCCCTTATACAATAATTGATTTGAAGACATTTTCTTCCATTCTGTGGGATTGTCTTTCCATTTTCTTCATATTTTGATTTTCAGCACAAAATCTTAAAATTTTTATGAAGTCCAATTTATCTACTTTTTTCTTTTGTTGCTGTGCTTTCGGTGTCATGTGTAACAAGGCTTTGCCTAACTCAAGGTCACTAAGATTTACTCCTGTGTTTTTTTAGAGAAGTTTAAAAGTTTTAGATCTTATGTTAGGTCTATGATCCTTTTTGTTAATTTTTGTATATGATATAAGATAGGGGTACAATTTTATTCTTTGGATATCCAGTTGTTTAGCACCATTTGTTGAAGGCTGTTCTTTCCCCACTGAATTGTCGTGGCATCTTTGTTGAAGATCAGTTGACCTTAATTATGAGTTTATTTCTGCTTTATAACAAAGTGAATCAGTTATACATATACATAGATCCCCATATCTCTTCCCCCTTGTGTCTCCCTCCCTCCCGCCCTCCCTATCCCACCCCTCTAGGTGGTCACAAAGCACCAAGCTGATCTCCCTGTGCTATGCAGCTGCTTCCCACTAGCTATCTGTTTTACATTTGGTAGTGTATATATGTCCATGCCACTCTCTCACTTTATGCCAGCTTACCCTTCCCCCTCCCCATATCCTCAAGTCCATTCTCTAGTAGGTCTGCATCTTTATTCCCGTCTTGCCGCTAGGTTCTTCATGACCATTTTTTTTCCGTTTTTTTAGATTCCATATATATGTTTTAGCATATGGTATTTGTTTTTCTCTTTCTGACTTACTTCACTCTGTATGTACAGACTCTGGGGCCATCCACCTCACTACAAATAACTCAGTTTCATTTCTTTTTATGGCTGAGTAATATTCCATTGTATATATATGCCACATCTTCTTTATCCATTCATCTGTTGATGGACACTTAGGTTGCTTCCATGTCCTGGCTATTGTAAATAGAGCTGCAGTGAACATTGTGGTACATGATAAAGCAGAAACTAACACACCATTGTAAAGCAATTATACTCCAATAAAGATGTTAAAAAAAAAAAAAGAACCTAGGGGCAGGACAGGAATAAAGACAGTGATGTGGAGAATGGACTTGTGGATATGGGGCGGGGGAAAGGTAAGCTGGGATGAAGTGAGAGAGTGGCATGGACATATATACACTACCAAATGTAAAACAGATAGCTATTGGAAGCAGCTGCATAGTGCAGGGAAATCTGCTTGTTGCTTTGTGTCCACCTAGAGGGGTGGGATAGGGACGGTGGGAGGGAGACGAAAGAGGGAGAAGATATGGGGATATATGTATAGCTGATTCACTTTGTTTTACAGCAGAAACTAACACACCATTTTAAATCAATTATACTCCAATAAAGATGTTAAAAAAATAAATAAAAAGCTCCCAACAACTTGAAAAAAAAAAAGACAAGAAATAAAAAATGTTGATGAAAAAAAAAGAGTTTATTTCTGGATTCTCAGTTCTGTTTTATTGATCTGTTTGTCTGTCCAGGTGCTAGAACCACACTGTCTTTATTATTGTAATTTTGTAGTAGATTTTGAAATTGCGAAGCGTGAAATCTCCAACTTTGTTCTTCTTTTTCAAGATTGTTTCATCTATTCTGGGTTCCTTGCATTTCCTTATGAGGTTAAGGATCAGCTTGTCATTTTCTGCAAAAAAGGCAGCTGGGATTTTGATAGAGATGTTGTTGAATTTGTATATCAATTTGAGGAGTATTGCCATATTAACAATATTGTGATCTGATCCATGAAAATGGAATGTGTTTTCATTTATTAGTCTTTAATTTCTTTCAAATTTTGTTTTGTAATATTCAGAGTATAAAATTTACACTTCTTTTGTTAAGCTTATCCCTAAGTATTTTGTTCTCTGTTCATTATAAATGAAATTGTTTTCTTAATTTCATTTCTTGATTGTTCAGCTCACTAAAATTTGGCCTCCGCCCTGAACAGTACACCAGTACTCCCACTGTAGTAACCATTGGCCTTCCTCTCCTAATTTTCTTTTTTCTGACCTCTCAATCTGACAAACCTATTTATTATAGCTAGTGTGCTAAACATCATTGCAGTATAATTGAACCCACTTTTTCATTTTCTTTTAAAGACTCATGTAATGCTTTCCTGGTATTCATGATTTTAGGCAGTTTGACAAAGTGGTTTGTATGCATTGTGTGGCTGTTCTCTGAATCTGATATCCATGGTGCAGATTAAAGTAATTTTGGAAGGACACGTTGCTTCTTGCATCACCACCATTTGTAAACATTTGGTAGTTCATTACCAGCAAGCTGAGCTCAAATTCCATTTCAAAAACATTCGTCTTTTCTTCCTAATATTAGGTGCATATAAATGTTTTACTTTTTTGGCTATTTACTTGTCAGCTTTTTTTTGCTGGACATTTGCTGGACAACATAATCCAAAATCACTGATAACTTTGTAACCATCATTTTGCCTTCCTTAAAATTTCACAGTGGGGACTTCCCTGGTGGCACAGTGGTTGAGAATCCGCCTGCCAATGCAGGGGACACGGGTTTGAGCCCTGGTCCGGGAAGATCTCACAGGCCGTGGAGCAACTAAGCCCGTGTGCCACAACTACTGAGTCTGCACCCTAGAGCCTGCGAGACACAACTACTGAGCCCGCGTGCTGCAACTACTGAAGCCTGCGCGCCTAGACCTGTGCTTCTCAACAAGAGAAGCCACCACAATGAGAAGCCCTTGCACCACAGCGAAGAGTAGCCCCCGCTCACAGCAATTAGAGAAAGCCCGTGTGAAGCAACGAAGACCCAACATAGCCAAAAAACACCCCACATTAAAAAAAAATTTTTTTATAGCGAGGGAAGTATTTGAGTGAGTCAGTCATTTTTTAGTTTTTTGGATGTAACAATTTTATTTAAATAAATAAATAATAAATATTTCCATATTTTTTTCTTCTTTTTTATCCAGGCTTCTTTCCTGTGTGTCTAGTTTATGTGTTAATGCCAGAGATACTTCATTAAAAAACCATAATTTATTTTATCTTATTTTTTAAATGGTTAACTTTTTTTTGGTTTTTGGTTTTTTTGGAATTAATTTTGGATTTAATAAGTTGCAGATATAATACAGAGAGTTCCATATGCCTTTCATCCAGCATCTTCTTGTGTTATGTAACTGTAAATTCTATGTTGTAGAACATTTATCACAACCAACAAATTAACATTGGTACAATGCTATTAACTAAAATATAGAACTTTTTTGAATTTCACCAGTTTTCTTGCTAATGTCCTTTTTCTTTTCCAGTGTCCAATCCAGGATCCTACAGTGCATTCAGTTGTCATGTCTCTAATAGTTTTCTCCAGTCTTTTGATAGTTCCTCAGTCTTGTCTTTTCTTTGATGATCATAACACTTCACTTATTTTGTAGACTTTCCCTTAATTTGGGTTTTCGTCTGGTGTTTTCTCATGCTTAGATTGAGGTTATACATTATTAGAAAAGGTACTGAAGAGGGGATAAGCCTTCTCAGAACATCGTGTGGGGATGTGTTACTGGTTATAGTAACTCTGATCACTTGGTTAAGGTGTTGACTGCCAGGATTCTCCACTGAAACTAAATATTTAGGGGATACTTTGAGACTATACAAATTAAATTTTCACTCACTTTCATTACTTAGTAGAACTTGCCTCTTGCCTGTGGCAGTTATTACCATGGTGTTCTAATCGTGATTTTCTGTTTTTCTCATTCCATCTACATTTATTAATTGGGCTTTTGTAAGGAAGAGTGCCACTTCTTGTCCATTAAGGAAAAAAAGATACATATAACATATATACATATGTTTATATATTTAGTTATGTGAGTATGGACTCATGGATATTTATTTTATTCTGAGGTTATAATCCAGTACTATAGTTATTTATTTCATTGCTCAAGTTGTCCTGACTTTTTCTGCCTGAAATTTGAATAGATATGTTTGTCAGGGTGCAAACCTGTTGAAGCCTAAGATACTTGGAACTTAACCTCTAACAGAATGGAGAACAGCCTAATTAAGACTTTCCTTCTCCATTCTTGAATCATAATTTGTTGCTTATTCTCATGTCTTCCTCTGTAGGGATTAGACTAGTGAATCTCCCAAATTCAGCATTCTCAAAATTGATTAATATGAAATATGAAACACACTGCTTATGAAGTGAACTTAGATTTTTTTATACAATTTAAAAATTCCTCATGTTGAAAGCATCAGTTATTGTTATATTATAAATTATTTCACATTATAAATCTTGTTTTTAGGAAAAGAAGAAATATGAAACCCTTCAGAGGGAAGAGTCTGATGAAGTCTCCCTTCCAAAAACCTCCAGAGAGCTGGAAATCCCTACCCCACCTTGTGAATTCAAAGGAGACCATCTAAAGGAGTTAAACGATTCCCAGCCCCAGAATGATGCTAGTCGACAAAACGAGAGTGAAATGTTTGATGTACCACTCACTTCCTTAACTCTAAGCAATGAAGAGTCCCTGACATGTAAAACAGAGAGTCTAAAGGAGGGAGAGGAGATCAGAGCCTGTGCTGGGGATGATTCAGTCAAGCCAAAGGTCGATCCTGGAGGCAATGTCGGAACAAGAGTAGAACCCCCTGAGAGCATTACAGAAATGGAGGAAGATAAACTGGTACAATGTAGACCTTTGGAAAGCACACTGCAATCTAATGTTTCTTATATTCAGCAG